GTGACAGCAGTGGTTCTTACCGCTGCTTGGGCTGTGAGGCCACTCTCTGTGGGGGCGATGCTCTGCGTCAACATCTGGAGTCGCCCTTGCACAAACACAGAACAATCAAAAGAACAGCAAGAAACGCCAAAGAGCACCCCAGTTTATTACCTCACTCTGCCTGCTTCCCCAACCCTGACACCGCATCTACCTCTCAGTCTGCTGCTGACTCCAAAGCCAGCCTCTCACCGCCCTCCCCTTCTGCTTCACCCCACCACACCTCCACAAAGTCTTGGTCTCACAGTGCTCCCAAAAAAACTCCTCCTTTTCCCACGCTTTCCTCATCTTCAACAGTTACCTCAAGTCCGTGCAGCACCTCAGGGGTTGCAACCTCCTTTCCAACAGACGGCTTCTCTGAGGAGTCTGATTCGGACCTCAGCCAAAAGTCTGACAGGGCGGGAAGTCCTTTGGGCGCTCCTGAGAACCAAGGTTGTCATGAGGACAGCTCTCGAACTGCTGTGGGAGTGGGTTCTTTACGACTGTAGACTTCGGAGATGGACGATGAAAAATAATAAAATATGAATTTAAAATAAAAAAACATGACAAACCAATTTCACAAACAGAAATACTGCAAATTCCAAAGCTTCTAACCAAAAAAGAGGACCCCTCCCTCCCTTGTATTATTCTCTTCATTCCTGCACCTGCCCACTGACCTGTTCTCTCCCCTACCTATTGTCACATTGACCCTAAAACAGGGAACTGGCTTATTTACTCCCCCTTATTTGGAGTTTGGTCACCCTGTGGTGGCACCCCTTCTCTGCTCACATAGCGATGGCTTTGCTAAGATGAAACCAATAGAATTATTGCGTTATTCTCAGGTCAAATGCTCACAACATGTTCTGACTATGGTCTTGGAGTTTTATATATACATATATATATAGATAGGGATATATGTGTGTATATATGTATTTTTTTTTTTTCAGTAAGTGATTATTTTTTAAGATTTTTTTTGTTTTGTTTTTTTTTTTTTGCTAATTTAACCGGGAAAATTAAAATAAAAATCAGGACTGGGATAAAAGAAGCCTCCCAGGGACATTATGTTGGGTGGCGTTCATACTTTAATTTCCACGTCCAGGAACCACAGCTCCAAAATATATACTTTTTAAAAAAAACGACGAAGAGACTTTCTTATTTCTTACAGATGAGGCCATTGATTCAGGACAGTTTTCAGAAGCGGAGTAGAATTTTGTGTACACTTTGTTTTGTGTCTTGATGACGTTTCTCATTTGACTTTATGGCAAATTGTTTCCCTGGTTACAAGAAACCTCTTCTCATTATCTCCCCACCCCCTTCCCCCCACCTCTCTGTCCAAAGCCTACCCCTAAACCTATCCCTTGCCTTTGGCTCTTCAACCAAAATGTTCTTTCAAAAAACAATTTTTTTATTTATTTTAATTTTTTTAAAGCTCTTAACAGCAGGACAAATGTCTCTGCTAAATAAAATGTTTAATTTGAATTTCCCAAAGGGATACAAAGTTTTTAATCTAGAGTGCAGTGCAAAGTGCTGCACTATTGTTTAACTGGCACTGTCTGTATTTCAACACAACCTAATGTTGGGATATGGGGAAGGGGCACTGGTAAAATATGTAATATTCCCTGTTGTTTGGTGTTTGTATACAACACACATGTCCTGCGCCCCTCACCCCTTTCCCCACCCCATGTTACCTGTTGCTCTGTTTTCATGTCATTAGACGGAGATCTGTTTTGTTTTTGGCGCTTTTTTTATTTTATTTTTAAGAAAATGGAAAAAAAATTATTGGAAAAAAAAAAAACTGAACCATTTGTACCTGTGTGCATATGATTGTGTGTACACATGTATGCTTCAATAGACATTGGTACACACAGACATATGCACACACAATATTTAATTTTTTTTGAATGAATTCTAATGCTTTAAATAAAATCCAAAGAGTAGCCTGCCTTGTGTGCTTGGCTTAGAGGCTTTGTCTTACTTGAAACCAATTGTTTGTGAGTTAAAAACAGAACCCGGTGAGTTTTAAGAAAGCTTATGTGACTCAGATCATCACCTAAAGTAAAGTACTTTTTTGGGCAGGTTTAAAAAAACAAAATAAAAAAAGCACCCTTTCGTATGGTCAGTTTTGGGGAAGACTGGATTCTCTGTTAGTAGCGATTACTGGACTTCTAACTGGCAGTACACCTCGTGGATCAAAGACGACCTAGACAGACAATTGCAGATACATTTCAACGCTGTATTCTTGCTTGCAGTCTTTAATTACTCCTGACAAGACTGGTGCTCTGTCCTTATGACAGCTGACCCTGTTGACCTGGCTGGTTACTTCTTGAAGGTGAATTAAAAGAATTGTTTTGTTCTCACACAATGAAGTTTATAAAAGGAGTCAAACGAATGCTCTCGCCTACTGCACTGGATACATCTGTAAATGATTCTAGCCAAACGTCATAGCCAAATCAGTATTAAATAGCTAATGCCATGATATTTTAATTCTGTCATTCAGCCAGTGTTCCCTCTAAGGAGATATTTCCAGTATAGAAACCATTTCAACAGGACAGTATCCACACAGGGTGTAATTAGAGCCTACAACAAATTCAGAGGATACCAATATCCCCCATAATGTGGCATTAACATTGCAACAGCTTGCAACTCTGAAAGGGCTAAAATGAAACTAGCTTTGCCAATGAATATTTTTATTTTATCTTTTTTATATATCTTTTTCCCTTTAAATATTTGTGGTGCTTGCTGTTTTTTTTTTTTTTTTTTAACTTTTTCGATATCAGATAGGTGATGTGCGTTACATACATTTGGTCAATTTCTAAAATATGCCAAGTTGTATTGCTTACCAACGCTGCAATAGCCTTATAGTATCAAGCTATTACTCAGTCCTGATTGATTTCACCATAGTGTTGCGTCAGTTATTGCTTTATCTATTTTGCCATTTAACAGCTCCAAAGGCCTCTGGGTAGGAAAGCTGTTTTTTTAAGCACTTTTTTTATTTGTATATTAATGTATAGTTCCCTTCCCTATCTTACCATGTGTTGATTCATGTCCGGTACAGGCTCGATGTGTCTGTCCTTCCTTTTTCTTGATGTTTTGTGTGTTTAGTCCCTTTGATTTCTATGCTGTGCATAGAATGAGTTTGTTTGTTTGTTTTTAGCTGTAGGATAGTTGTCTCTGAAGTATAGTAGAAATGCTGTACTAGACGCGCTTTAGTTCATGCACGTTGATGTTTTATTAATCGCTCATCTCATGTCTAGATACCTGTGAAACACACATCCCATAATTCAATGGACCCATAACTGTATAGATTCTGCGTCCGCAGTGCGCCTTTTCTCTCTCCATAGAGCTGTCTTTTAACTTTGTGAGTGGATGAGGGAATAGATTGGTTGTTATTATTTATAAAGCGCCAACAAATTCCACAGCGCTGTACAATATGATATGAGCGATGTCCCATGTGGACATTCTAAAAGAAATTAATATATTGGTAGAATTAAGCAACAATAAATGTGTCCATACCGGATTTTAATTGTCAATATTTCCATCATGGAGCAGCAACTGAGGAATCGACAAAATACCCTTCAGAGCAAGCACGAAACCTTTTAAAAGTCTGTGTTTTAATGTTTTTTGGGAGGCTTTTTTTATTTTCATTTTATTTTATAATTATTAAACATATTTATATATTTGAAGGTGGCCGAATCTTTAAAAAAAAAAATGAAATTTACTTAAAGAGAACATGCTGAGGACAGCAGCTCTCTATGTGTGTATGTTTGTGTGTGCATGTATGTGTATACGGATGTCTATTTACAAGAGTGTGTAATTGAAACCCTGTTTGCGGTCACTTGTGTGGTACTCTGCGCTGCTTCCCCTTTTGGCATTCAGTGGGTGAATGTGGTGTTATTGGGAGTGCAGCCCACTGGTGGACGTGGTGGTCAGTCATTAAATGGCTTACACTGTTTAGGAAGGGAGGTTGGGAACAGACCCCTTGTTTTCAAGGTAATAAAGCTATTGCAGCAACCAAAATATTGCCAACTATTCAAACCAAACAAGGGATGCCAATCTTGACTCTTTCCTGTGTTATTTTTTTTTTTAGCCGTCTTAATGGCAAAACACTTTAAACTGTACCAAACTACTGTACAGACATGGACCATAAAGATACACAAAATATATATGAACTTTTTTTTTTTTTTTTTTTACCAAAAAAATGAAAAAAAACTAACTTTTTGGGGGTTATTTTTTTGTGACGAGGGGTGGGATAAGGAACTATGACGATGTATAGTACAAAGCAGACACCCCTGTATTCTAGATGAGTTTGCTGTAATTGAACAAAATCAATATATTTATGCTCCTTTGGAAAATATTTCTTTAAGTCTGTTTGATTGTGTTATTAAATGAAGGGAAAAGAAAAACACACAGAAAGGTTTGGTGTGTAACATTCTCAATTTAAAACCTGGCGATTGGCATGAGTTCCTAAAAACGTTTAAATGTCCTACATCTTCTAATGGTTCAATGGCTGGCTGAGAGTTGTCCACTGTAAGGTTATTCAACTTCAGAAAGAACAGTTTTCCACTGGAAAGTTTTGAGAATATTGTTCCTCTCCAATTTTACATTTTCCTACTACTACTGTTCCTATCAACATGTTTTTGCACATCTGGACAGTACTAGTATTTCTGATTAAAATGTCATTAAGGTATAATAAGAAAGCTTATGGTCAATCAGCAGTAAAGCCCAGACCTTCAGCCAAACATCTACAATAGATCTTGTTTTCAGACTGGTTACATCTGGCAACACCTGATGTTTTACAACCCAAAAAGTCCAAATATCGAAAATGTAGCCTGCCTATGCTCCAGGACCAACTGCATTGCCCTCCTTACCTGCTTCCTTGTTAAGGTACTCTGTGGTGTGCTGTCAAAATAAGAAGGAATGGTCACATCTCTCATGCTTGCAACCCTTTAAATCATGTGAGATAAATTCACGAAGAGACATCAAGGTCATTGCTTAAATTAAAATGTTGCTTTTATTGACAAAGCATTAAAATGACACCGTACATTCTATGTTACCAGTAGTAAAACCAAGTCAATTGGAAAGGGTCCAAGGTATCCATCCATTGAGAAGGTAAATGCTGATGGTCTGAGACCTGTCTGTGTCAGTCTGGGGGAGCACTTGCTCATATAGAAGGGGTTAGATTTGCTTGTTAACTGTCAAATGCTAATGTCCACACACACACACACACACACACAATTCCCGTTGGGAAGATTATATCCACCTGAAAATCCTAACTGATTATCCCATGGTTACATGTTCATGGTCTCTTTTAAACGGTGTAGGCACTGTAACTGCTTAATATTTTTTTTTATTAAAGTGATTATAGTATCTGGAGATCCCTGGTGCTCTCTTTCCATTTAGCTTTGAAATGTAAATAAAAGTCCTAGCAATCCATTCCCTCTGCGCTGCTTGGGTTAATAAGGGAGCATCAGCCTGAGCCGTAATGAGTGGCTGTGTCAGCTGCCTGCTTTCACCCCATCACAGCACCTATTGCTGGTATGCATTTGTACAGCTAGAAGATAGTGTTGAATTTTTGCATTGGCCATACCTCCAGGGTGTGCCGGGCTGTGTGGGGCCAGGGTCTATATTTTGTGTAACAGCTCAAAATTGGTTTAACACTGAATGGAGGGACAGAGCCAGGGGGACCAGACCCTATAACTAGTTAAATGAGATGAAATGGTTACAGTATTCCTTTACAGGACACACATGCAGTTTGATACCATTAACAATAACAAAGGACAAAAAAATGTTTGCCATGTTTTCTACACTGCAATATGGGATTTTCTGATTACAAGATGCAACCATGGTTGCTTCGGGGTCGCAGGACAGGCACAATGCATGCAGGCTCGTTTAAAGTATCCATTGGTGTTGAGCTTAAAAGAACTGTCATTTCCCAGGGTTATTAATATTATGTTTGTAAAGTCTGAAAAATAAGCTTGGATATAGTAATCCTTGCCATTGTAGTTACCGCTATTCTGGAATGGAGTGCTCCCATCTTGTCTCTCTGTCGATCATTGTTATAAGCTCCACCTTCTGCACCTGTCAGTCAGCACAGAGCAAGAGAAAAACATTGCTTCTATTTTTCTAACGCCTTCTCGGTGTGTTCCTTGGCTGTGCCTTGACTAAACTGGATTGTGATGTAATTTGCTAACTCTTGTACATTTAAAAGAACACAGCATCACATGTTAAAAGGTTAACTCCAGTTTTAATGTTATAGTACCAGAGAAGTGACAGTTCCACTTTAACAAAGCAAACTTATTTTGTCTTAGCCTACACCAGTCTTAATCCAGGGATATTAGTATTGAACACATGCCTTCGATTATTGGCCATGGCATGACTACACCAATCTTAATCCAGGGGAATGGATATTAAACCCGTGCCTTCAGTTATTGACCATGGAATGTCTACACCAGTCTTAATCTAGCCCTAGGGGTATGGATATTAAACACGTGCCTTCAATTATTGGCCATGGCATGTCTACACCAATCTTAATCTAGGGGTATGGATATTAAACCCGTGCCTTCAATTATTGTCTATACCAGTCTTAATTTAGGGGTACTGAACACATGCCTTCGATTATTGGCCATGGCATGACTACACCAATCTTAATCCAGGGGAATGGATATTAAACCCGTGCCTTCAGTTATTGACCATGGAATGTCTACACCAGTCTTAATCTAGCCCTAGGGGTATGGATATTAAACACGTGCCTTCAATTATTGGCCATGGCATGTCTACACCAATCTTAATCTAGGGGTATGGATATTAAACCCGTGCCTTCAATTATTGTCTATACCAGTCTTAATTTAGGGGTACTGAACACATGCCTTCGATTATTGGCCATGGCATATTCCAAGGGGATCATTCTACAACGGTGCCGGTCATATAGGCCAGTATCTCATTGATGTGAATATCTGTGCAGTTAAAGATACTCTTAATCTAGGAGTTTGTGTTAAGGATACATTCCCAGCCTGGCAGGCCTCATCGCATGTTCATTAAGGTGTGTAGCGGAGTAGTAGTATAATCCACGGTATCTCCGCTGGTAGTCAGATTCAGCATACCGTGTAGGTAGCGTAAATACAATGTGATAAAACGCACAAGTAATGTTATGGCGCTGAATTTAAAACTATAATCTATACCAATAAGCAGCACTATATATCGTGTAAAAGCTCAACCACCTATGTAAAAACAATGAAAAATTAAAGTGCGCTGTGCCTTTAAGACTCAAAACAGTGAAAATAATTTGTGCAATATTGTGCAAATAAAGTGATCAATGTGCAACTCACAACATATATACATACAAAATGTGCAAAAAATAGTTTCTTTGTGCACCCAATTATGTGCAAAAATACAATACTTAGCTTTTCCCAATTATGGAATGTGCTTTAGAACTTCTGTCAGCACTCCAATATACGTCTCAAAAAGAGAAAGGAAATATACAATCATAGGGTAGTATGTACATACACAATGATAAAGAAAATGGAAACCAAAACACTCACAAGGGTAGAGCAATATAAGTCTGCTCTAAACTTTGTAGGCTTATATTGCAATAATGTAGACTGGAAACTGTGGTGAAGTTAAATCCTTTATCGCTTCTTTAAAAATATCGCTGCATAAGGCTGGTAAGTCCCACTTATCTGGTCTCCTCTTATGGTTAGTGCTGGTATATGCAGTCACACTTTCGGCGCCGGCTGTACTGGGTCTCTGTATGCCGAAAGGACTTCCTAGTTCCAAACACTTCCGGGAGGCGGGGCTTAGCGGCCGGTGAGCGTAATGACGTCAGAGCGTGATGACGCGTTTCGCCGAGGGGTTCGGCTTCCTCAGATCAGCTCCTTTCACACCACAGTCCCAATTTATAAGTCTTAGAAAGCATTTATATATGCACATTAAGCACATCATTTATATCTTGTTCATTATTTGTTCTGCAAGAAAGGGCAGAAGCCTTGAGCAGCTGCCTGCAGGACACTGAAACAAAAATTAATTTTTCATTGTTTTTACATAGGTGATTGAGCTTTTTCACGATATATAGTGCTGCTTATTGGTATAGATTATAGTTTTAAATTCAGCGCCATAACATTACTTGTGTGTTTTAGCACTTTGTACTCTTAGCACACCACAGTTTCCAGTCTAAATTATTGCAATATAAGCCTACAAAGTTTAGAGCAGACTTATATTGCTCTACCCTTGTGAGTGTTTTGGTTTCCATTTTCTTTATCATTGTGTATGTACATACTACCCTATGATTGTATATTTCCTTTCTCTTTTTGAGACGTATATTGGAGTGCTGACAGAAGTTCTAAAGCACATTCCATAATTGGGAAAAGCTAAGTATTGTATTTTTGCACATAATTGGTTGCACAAAGAAACAATTTTTTGCACATTTTGTATGTATATATGTTGAAGTGAGTTGCACATTGATCACTTTATTTGCACAGTATTGCACAAATTATTTTCACTGTTTTGAGTCTTAAAGGCACAGCGCACTTTAATTTTGCAGCGTAAATACAATCCCTTTTTCCCAAATAGTAGACAACACATAGTTTTGGAGTCAACTGAGCTTTCATTCCAATGCAACCGTTTATATACAAGTCCCCATGCAAGGGGTTTTCCCCTGGTGGCCTCTGTGGGAAAACTTAACCTGCAATGTTATTTCCCATCATGCTTTTCTGTACTGGAGAGATAATTGCGTAAGAGTATACTGTTAATTACATTCTCTCCGTACAGAAAAATATAACATTTAACATAAAAATCCATAACTTGTACAATTTTACACTGAATTGGCCGAATGACCCTTCATTGAATGGCTGGGATCTGAGCGCACCATCTGGCGAAATACCGCTTAGATCCATTCGTTAGAATAGGAAAGCCATTCGAATGAAGAGGTTCATATGAACACCCATTGAAATTACATAGTTAGATGCTGACTGTTTGAATAGGGTTCGTGGAGTTTAATCCATCAAACGCCGCTCTATTTTTACGAATGGATATAATCATACGAACGGCATGGAAGTCCAGCAGTGTTCGCAAAGTCGAGTAGCTGATTTTAGTTCCAGGCACTCAAATACCAAACACCGCTGGGCGTTCATAAGCAAAGATGGCCGCCGCCACGTGTGGCGACCGCACATAAAACCATTAATGTTCTGCGGTTAAAAATGTTGTCAGTTTGTTAATTGGAGACACACGACTCCCCTGTGTGGTCTCTCGTTCGGTTGTTCATTCGTTTCACGAACAGTATATTCCACATTTGTTCGTGAAACTAGCATACGAATGCCCTCAGTCTTTTGGAGTATAAAATTAACACATGGACCCAGTCTTTGATATACTGAAGTGGCTAGGTTTGCCACAAGGTGCATTAAATAGGATTTCTAATTCACATAAATGCATATGCACCAATGAAGAAAATGTTCTAAGGTCCATCTTCGAAACTACTTTCTCAATGTGCTGATCAGATGTCATTTACTCTGTCAGGAGCATTTAAGTGGCGTGTTGTGTGGTCATGGCTCCCAGAAAACTTTGCAGTGACTCTTACAAGCTGCGAATATGGAGTAATTCCCAGATAGCACAAGGTAGATCCAATTCTCTTCTGAGCCTCTCCTACAATGTGCTTTAATTAAGCAGTGATTAGCCTGTGTGGGAAAGAAAGCAAGCATTAATATTGTAATGGATGTCCCTGTGACACATCAAAGGGTTAACATCACTCCCAGATACTCCCTTTTTAAATCTGGATTATTGTACACTCAGAGTAAATGTCAGGGACTAATCTAGTTTGTGAATGAAAGAAAATGCAATGTTAGTGTGAACTGAGTAATGTGACATTTAAATGGACAGATCCACCTGATTTTTCTTTATACCCTTGTCATCCGTAGATTTTTTTTAATTACATTTTTTTTTTTACCAATCCAGGAACCATAACAACATCTTTGCAAATAAGCCCCAGACTAAACCATTATCAAGTGGCTTAACCCCTAAGTCTGCAAGTCAATGTCTAATTGCATGTAATTTCACTGCCTCTCCATGTTCGATGTTACAATCAGGAAGCCTCGGACCAGGTTTCACTGATAGACTGAGAGTGTATCTTTCACTCACTTTTTCTGAATTGGGAGCTAATGCTCTTAGCATAACCGCATCCACTGCAAGGCTTTCTGATTTAAAGCCTCAGACATTCAGAGGAAGTACAGGGGTAGAGCAATTGGACATCAGCTTGCAGACTTTGGAGTTAAGCCATTTGTTAACAGTTTAACGTAGTGCCTGGTGCCTACTAGCACTGTAACAACTCCATTGAGGTACCGTTGTTATGGTGTCCGGAATGTCCATTAAAGGGTAACTCCAAACAATCAAACTTTAGTGAAAAATCAAAAAACACACACACCACCACCACCCCACACCACGTCCCCTCTTACCTCTTTTTTAAAATTAACCTAGAGCGGACTACTGTTTTTTATGAAAACTGCTGACAACTGTGTGACCAGTTTCTCTGCTGTTGGTTAGTGGATAGATTGCCAGCAAGGTTCAGGACTGTGCCAACTGTCATTGTGTAAGCGTTCGATGGGCACCGCTTTAAACTGTACTAATGTACAAAGTTAGGGTTTTTCAGTTAAGGACATGGGCGATAATTTGTTTATTTTTCCAAAAAATATAAAAGTATTTATCCGGGAAAGATAAATTTAGCATTCCTCTAATTTCTTAGTGTGCAAGTATGTCCTGAGATTTCAAAGTTTTTATTTTACTTTTAACCAACCTATTGGTATTCCAGTTATTGACCTCGGAAGGTTGAGTAAAATTTGACAGTGGTCGATTGTAACAGGAGCCCTTTTCACTGAGCTCTCTTTGTCACACAACGTTCACCTATCCCTAACTAGGATACTACATTAATACACGTCTACCTAGGTGTGCGGATCACATTTAATTAGGTTGTGCACCTAGGAGTTCTTTCTCTGTTGTTTTTTTTTATATAAGACACTTATTAAAAAAAACAATCCAAACAATATAACCACTACAGCATGTTATATTACTTGGACTGCTCTGTTATCCTCCCTGTATATTTGTCATAGTATTTTAGAATAGTGTACCCACTTAACTGGGTCCCGCCAGGTATCTGCACCCGGAGCCTTTTTTCTGGATTCAACTTCCAGGACAATCTAGTTAGTGCAACATATAAATTGTCATTTTCTGTAGCTACATCAAGCAAATCACAGTGGTGGCACTAAGTATTCAATGCTTTATAACACTCCACTGTGGTGGATTTTTTAATTTATTTGTAAGATTATATTTGTTTTGGTTTTTTTCCCCCCTGGTTTTGTCCTTTTTCTTTTTTTCTAGAGTTGGACCTTTTCCATAGTCCCTCTCCTCTCCACAGCACATTATAATTCTCTGTGTATTTCTGGTTTATTGACGTCAGCTGTACTGACTATAATCCTTGACTGATTTCTGGCTTCTGCGGCTTGTCTTTGGCCATACTTTAAGGTCCTGTATACGTTTATTTTCCGATTATTACTTACACACTACATGTTGGGCCATATGAAGCTATTATAAGCCCCCAAGGGGCATCGTATGATACCTGATTTGAGAATATGGACCATCCTTTGGACCAGATTGCCCTTGCCTTGCAGCCTTTGACTTTGGTACGTTCAGCAATCCTGTATCAACTGGGTTAGAAGTATCCCCTTATAGATCCACTTCACACATGACTTCACCTCCACACTATGTTGCAGCACCTGATACGTTTTGTGGTTTTTGTAAACCAGATAAGTAAAGTTTTTGAGTTACATCTTAGGGCCTGTCCCACAGAGTCAAAATAGGATTTACCATATCGATTTGATAAAGTGTTGATTTTGGCTAATTCCTTATGGGAGAATGAAACCCTCTGGTCTACAATTGTGATGCTTTTAGCAATAATTTTAGGAGGACATTTGATCTTCCTGGTAGAAAGGCAAACGCTGCCAGATCACTTCTTCGCATTAAATCCTTAGTTGATCATGCCTTAGAATTCATATCTTTAGTAGCAGAAGTAAGATGGAATAATCCGGCATTTGTGGATGTCTTCCTACATGGCCTTTCAGACAGTATTCTGGATGAGGTTGCCCCCAGATATCTTCTTGAAAGATCTTATCTGTCTCAAACCTAGAATAGGTTACAGCAGATTAGCACTATCATGCAACCCTGCAGACTCTATGGCCTTAGCACTGCCTGAACCGATGCACTTAGTGGTATCCAGGTTAACCAAAGCAGAGAAACTATACAGAGGACAAGAGAGGTTATGTATGTACTGCAGAAACAAGTTATTCTCGCTGAACTTATCCTTGTAGGCCTGAAACCTCCCGCATCTAAGTTCTGCTGGATGACAGGCTTTGGGTGTTTCTACTATGTCCTGCATGTATAAAGACAAAGATCACAGGTTCCATATTCCCATTTCCTAATCTGAGAGAAGAATTAACTAAATACTGTAGCATTGTTAAACTTAGGGGCAGCCGGACATTTTATGGATTTTACCTTTGCCAGAAGTCATTCTATTCCTTCACAGTTAAGAAATACACCTCTGAACGTTGAGACCATGGATGATTTCACATGAAACCAGGGCCGGTGCAAGGATAAAAATTTGCCGTCCCCCCACCCCTCATGTGACATCACAATGCCCCACCCATATGACCTGCCATATAAACTAATGCCAGTGCTGCACACAGTGTGTGTTTACATTAAAAAGTCTGCAGGGACCGGCTATAGACACCAGAACCACTTCATTAAGCTGCAGTGGTTCTGGGGACTATAGTGTCCCTTTAATGTAAATTAGAGATTAGTTCAATGAGTAATATACTGGATTGTATACTTACAACCAGATGAGGATGGTGATGGGCTCTGGCTGCAGTCTGGCTCCACTGGTCTGGTGTAGAACAGGATCTCTGGTGGTTGCTTGTAACTGTGGTCACAAAAGTCAATGTTTTGGGGGAACGGGAAGCAGCTCCATTTTTGGGGGGCCGCTTGCACAGTTCAAGGTCTGTGAGTCCACCCATAAGTCCACCTACATGTTCCACCCATGAGTTTGCTCACAGGGAGTGGAGTGTGTAGGGGATGCGTTAGTGTAGAGGATCTAAAGTGTGGGCTTATGGAATGTAGTGTATAGGGATACCAGTTTGTATAGGTGATGCAGTGTGTTTTTGTGTAAGGGATAGAAAGCAGTGTGTGTTTGTGTGTAAGGCATGTGTTGTGTGTTTCTGGTTGTGTTTAAGGGATGCATTGTGTGAATCTGTGTTTGTATGTGTAAGGGATGCAAGGTGTGTTTCTGTGTATGTAAGGGGTGCATTGTGTTTCTGTGTGTGTGTAAGAGAAGCTGTGTGTGTGCAAGGGATTCGTTGTCTTTGTGTGTAATGGATGCATTGTATGTTTTTCTGTGTGTAAGGGAAGCATGGTGTGTTTCTCTGTATTTATAGGGAAGCATTGTGTGTGTAGTGCGAAAGAGAGTGTTTGTGGGGTAGGATAAGGGTTGAGTCCTACCAGCCCCTTTGTGCTTCCTTTCCCCCCCCCTTCCTCAGCCTCTCTCCCCTCTTGTCCCTTACTGCTCTCCCCTCCTGTCCCTTAGAGCTCTCCCCTGCCCCACTGTCCCTTAGTGATCTCCCCTGTCCCTTTCCTGTAGTGCTCTCTCCTCTCCCTCCCCCTTCCCTAGTGGTCTCACCCTTACCCTTAGTGGTCTCTCCTCCATCCCCCCTCCCTTCCTTAGTGGTCTCTCCTCACCACCTCCTCCCTCCCATAGAGGTCTCTCCACCACCACCCCCCCATTCCACTCCCATGGTGGCCTCTCCCCCACCCCCTCTCCCTCAGTGGTCTCGCCCCACCATCCCCCTCTCCTACCCTGTGTGGCATGGCCGAGCTCCGGTCCGCGGTACAGGAGTTTCTGTTTCCTGTACCAGGTCAGACTGACAGAAAGTGCTCACCGAAATAGATGCTCCGGTACCGCGGACCGGACCAAAACTCAGTCATGCTACACTGAGGGACTGGCAGGAGGGAGCGCTGTGCGCTTCCCTCCTCCTGATCCCTAATATCTTGCGCCCTCATGGACCCGCCGGCCCTGCCAGTGCTGCAGCGGTCTGAGGCTCAGGCGGCTGCAGCACGAGGGGGGCCCTAGGCTACTGCCTAAGTTGCCTATAGGAAGCGCCGGCCCTGCATGAAACCACATCTTTGCAAATGAAAGTCTATATCTTGCATAAAGAACAAATTGTACTACCATTAATTTCTTCTCCAATATTTCCAGTGGGCTAAGGGTTCCCCGGTAAAAAAACAAAAACAAAACACAATCCCTCAATTGATAGATTGTATTCAGGGATGTGTTATCTCCTAATAAATGGGCCTATTATGTTACTTTTGTCAACAGAAATACCTGAACCTTACCTAGGTGTTTGACAAGGGAGTCCTTACCTCCACATAGAACTTATGATTGTGCCTTTTATCCTTTTCCGGGTACTATTCCACCTAGAGGTACTGAATACCTTCTTTCAGATAAGGAATATTTAGTGCTAGATAAGAAAACCTTTATACTAACAATTGTAGACAGGTTTTCAAAAATAGCTCACTATATTCCCTTCGTTAAGTTACCTTCACTTGAATCGGCTGAAATATTTGCATGGCTTACCCAAGGAAATGATGTCAGACAGAGGAATCCAAGTTGTTTCCTATTTCTGGGGGTATTTCTGTGCACAGATAGGTATCAAATTGAGTTTTTCATGAGCTTATTCTCCTCAATCTAATTGGGCAGCAGAACATATTAATCAAAAGTTGGAACAATACTTGAGATGTTTTGTCTCTGACCAGCAGGACAATTGGGATAGCCCGATTTCCCTGGGCTTAATTTGCACATAACGAGGTTTGTGATGCCACTTGTTACAGTCCTTTTTTTTTCTTAATTATAGTTTTAATCCACTTGTTCTTCCATCCACATTTCCTTCACAGGGATTGCTGTTGGTAGACGGACATGTTGAAAACCTAAAGAACCTTGGGAACGAGTTCAACACATAATTCTGATCTGTACAAGAAACACGCAGGCAAACATAGATATGCTGCTACTATCTACCAACCAGATAATGAGGTCTGGTTAAGCACCAAACATATACCCTTGAAAGTATCATCCATGAAATTTGCCTGCAGATACATGGTTCCTTACAGCATCCTTAGACATATCAACTCTTCCCCCCTGCATTCCCAATCGGTGTGTCAATTTTGAAACCTCTGACATTGATTTTACCAGTCATGTTGTATCTCCTTCTTCTGTTGAGGTAGAGGGCCAAGAGAAGTATGAGTTAAGTTCCATCATTGATTCTTGATTTTATAGGGGATGGCTACAATACTTGGTTGATTGGAAAGAGTATGGTCCTGAGGAAAGGTTGTGGGTTAATTCTTCAGCTGTCCATGCTCCTCATCTTCTTAAGTCGTTCCATAACCGGTTTCTTTATCGCCCTGGTCTTCTGCGCTAAGTAGGCGGTACTCGAATGGGGGTCCTGTCACAGTGCCTTGTGTTGTCCAGGTTGTGGCACAGTGCAGGTACGTCTAGCATATGGAGAGGGACCATTTCCATAGTGCCTCTCCTCAGCAGTTCCAACGCCGGCGCGCCAACATCATGACTCTAATCTCGTCATGGCCCACCATAATGTTTAAATTTGACTGTGTTTGGGGAGCATGGTTTTCAATTTAAAGAGCTGTAATATAAAAAGGTGTTTTAGGGTAAGATCATTGCACTGGTGTTCTATATTTGGCTTAAAATAGCGTGTTGTAATTCTCGCTATATTTCTGGTTTATTGATCTCTGCTATATTGACTATTTTTCTTTCTATAATCCTTGACTCAGCTGTTGTACCTCGCTTCCCTGACTCCGGCTTGTCCCTGGCTATTCTGTCTCTTACGTAAAGCCAAGCCACTCTAAGGTTTATTATACGTTTATTTCTGATTATATTTACACACTGTGTGTTGGGTCTCTCTGTATCTCTGACACTAATGTAGCTTTAAACCATTAAAAAATGTTTTAACACTGTATGGTAGCACGGTGTCAGTGGACTCCAGACACTATCACCACTTTAATGAGATGAAGCTGTTAGATTGCCCACAACGTCCCTTTAAGAACTTGTAACGACAGCGCAAAATGCGCTATAGTTTATAATCCCACCCTATTCAGGGAGTCATATGCAAATCAAGTGGCTAAACCAGGGAGCCGTTTGATAGCAAAAACAATTGCAAATTGCATTTTTACAGGAAATAGAGGCTGAGAACACTCAACAAACCCTGGTAACCCATTGTTCTTAATGGGGGCACCGTGCATATACCAAACCCTGCGTCCCTGCACAGCTTAGTAAAATAAGTAATTCAGCACTTGGCAACAACCACTTCATGAAATTAAAGTGGTTATGGTGCCTGTAGACTGCCATCATAACTGTCAGCAGACTGTATTGATAATGGTGATTTGAGTACCCCTTTAATACTTTTACTTATGGTTATGTTAAGCTAAATTTTGCTTCAAAACATCTCCTAAAAGGTTATTAAGGTCTGTAGGAGAAGGTGGGAAAGGAGAGCCCCTTTCACTTTACTAATACTTAGAGTGCCCCTTCAAACATATTTCATCGCTATGGATATTGCTTGTGGTGTGCAAAACACTAGTGTACAGTCCTTGCCCTTCCATCCCAGTCCTCCTGTCTCGTGGAAGTTTAAGCATGTGATTTCCATGTTCTGGACTGTAACTGAAGCAATATTTTTGCTAAACCTCAGTCTAGCTGTATTTTGTACGAGACAGGCAGCGTATTTCTACCTTCACATGCAAAGCTTGCAGCACTGTTTGATAAGCCCTCTAGATGGGAAACACATGTCTGGTGATGAAAGTGATATTTGTCTGTGATCTGTACAACACCTGCAGAGGCCACGCACCACATGGTCCTTCCTGGAGCTTACTGCTGGCCACAAGGCTGCTAGAGCCAGAAATTCCAAAATGCTTTGCAGGTTTCAAATCACTGCATGTAACCATAGGACAGTAGTGGCTAACATAACATGTTTCTGAATCACTGCATGGCTGAACATATTTAGAAATGTAATTCAGAAACATTTAGGGTGCCGAGTTTGGCATTGAATGACAATGGCTGTGGAATAATACTGGAACTACCCCGAGACACACGATATATGCCCCCTCCTCCTTCGCATAGTGGAGTCTGCTTTCCTGTGCTGTTTGCACCCACCAACTAGAATCAGACTAATATTCCAGAATGCCTGAAATGTAAGAACCAGGTTAGCTGGAGCAGACGGCACAGGCAAACGCTGATCCCAACCGGCTGCTCTCCCCACCCCACCGCAGTGCTGGGCAGACCAGCCACTAGTAATCTGGGACATAGAAAGGTGTACTTGGAATTTTATCCTAAACTAGATAAAGCACTAAAAATAAAACCAGATATAATAAATTAGAATCACATTTGAAGTACATTTTTATTCAGTGCAGAAACATGGTCTTTGCGGCTTCCGCAATGAACTCTCGCATAGCACGTCCATGACGTCCAGGGGAATTACCTACTCGCTGGCGAGCCCCCGCCGGCAATCGCGATGGGGGGACTTGCCTGGCATCCGAGGGAGTCCCCCTGATGCTGATCCGACCCTCCTGGACCATGTGATCGAGAGGTCCATAGCAGTGCCAGCAGTAGGACAGCCTGGAATGACAGATAGTCCCCCGGCTACCTGAAATAAAGTTCAATAAAGTTGTAATACAGTTTAAAATTAAATAATATATACCTAGATCATATATATATATATATATATATATATATATATATATATATATATATATATATATATATATATATATATATATATATATATGATCTAAGTATAAATATACACTTACACATACATACACACACACTGTCTAAATTATATATTATCAAAATACACATAGAATGATATTAATTAAATATAAAATTATATATAAATATATAAATACATTAAAAATGAAAAATAATAAATATGTAATTTCGTTCTAACTGTATTTTGATATTATATATATACATATAGATATTAAAATACACTTAGAATGAAATAATATATCTACATACATAAATATATATGTATATCACCATATAAATACATACCTATATATAAATAAAAAAAATTATATGTATTCTTTTTTTTTTTTAATTCTACATATATATTATTGCAATATTTTTACATAATTAAGTCATTTTATTCATTACAATTTGGGGGACCTGCCTGATAACCCAGACAGAAAGTCCAGAGAGCTTAATTTGCCAGCACTGTAATTAGTTTTTTGCATTTTTCACACACAAACCAATATGAACTCTAACTTTGGCCAGTGTTTGTGACCAAGTGGCTACCAAAAAAGACTGGACATACCCCATTTGCAATACCTTGGGTTGTCTACTTTTGCAAATGGTATGCCATCATGGGGGTAATTCTCATTCCTGGGCTACCATACGCTCTCAAAGGCAACGTAACCAATCTGTCAAATTTCAATGTGAAAAACTGAAAAACTTAACGTGCTATATTTGACCCTGTAACTTCCCAAAACACCATAAAACCTGCACATAGGGGGTAATGTTTTACACGTGAGACATCGCTGAATACAAATATGTGTATTTTATTGCAGTAAAAGCAAAAAGTATTTTGACATGAACAGTTAAAATATCACGCAGAACTAAAAAAATAACTCTCTTAATTTCTCAAATCTTTTAAATTTTATTCATATTAAATAATGTTTCATAGCTAAATATTTGATGTTAAATAAAAGCCTTGTTTTTCCTGAGTAAAATGATATATAATAAGTGTGGCTGCACTCAGGGCCGCCATCAGAAATTTTGGGGCCCATGACAAAGCACAAGGTCTGCCCCCACTCCCTCCCGGGCCCGCCCACGCCCTACCTAGTCCGCTCACAATGATGCAGGACTGAATGTGGTGTGTATAGTGGACGTGAATTAGAATGTGTGTAATGGATGTAGTGTTTGTGTGTATTAGATACTGTTTGTGCAATGAATGCAGAGTGTGTGTTTGTGAAGCGGATGCAGTGTGCATATTGAACGCAGAGTGTATTTGAGTAGTGGATGTAGTGTGTGTACAGTGATGTAGTGTGTGTTTGTGTAGTGGATGTAGTGTTTGTATGTACTAGATGAAATGTGTTTAGTGTATGCAGTGTCTGTAGTGGATGTAGTGTGTGTATTAGACGCAGTGTCTGTGTATAGTGAATGCAGAGTGTTTCAATTTGTGGTGGATGTAGTGTGTGTACTGTGAATACAGGATGTTTGTGTAGTGGATGCTGTGTGTACAGTTAATGCAGAGTGTATGTTAGTGTAGTGAATGCAGAGTGTGTGTCAGTATAGTGAATGCAGAGTGTGTCAGTGTAATGAATGTAGTGTGTGTGTTAGTGCAGTGAATGCAGAGTGTGTGTAAATTTGTAGTGAATGCAGAGTGTGTGTTAATGTGTAGTGAATGCAAAGTGTGTGTTAATGTGTAGCCGATGCAAAGTGTGTGTTAGTGTAGTGAATGCAGAGAGTGTGTTAGCGTGTAGCGGATGCAGAGTGTGTGTTAGTGTAGCGGATGCAGAGTGTGTGTTAGTGTAGCGGATGCAGAGTGTGTGTTGTGTTAGTGTATGCAGTGTGTGTGTGTTGTGTTAGTGTATGCAGTGTGTGTGTTGTGTTGGTGTATGCAGTGTGTGTGTGTGTTGTGTTGGTGTATGCAGTGTGTGTTGTGTTAGTCTATGCAGTGTGTGTGTGTTGTGTTAGTCTATGCAGTGTGTGTTGTGTTAGTGTATGTGTGTGTAAATGTGTGATCTGGGGGGAGGAAGGGGAATTTTCACATACATTTTTAATTAAATATTTCTCCCCCCTCCCTGCTTACCTGTGTCCAGGGAGGGGGGAGATTCCATCTGTGGTGGTGCGGTGGGGGGACCCCCGGCTCCCTGTTATCGCAGAGGGGGCCCAGGCAGCACACAGCTTCTCCTCTCTTCTAATAACTCTCGCGAGACCCGCGGAGCGTTGCCATGGTAACCGGGTCTCACGAGAGTTATTAGAAGAGAGAAGAGAGTAGAAGCTGTGTGCTGCCTGGGCCCCCTCTGCGGTAACAGGGAGTCGGGGGCCTGCGGCTGCACACATAGATAGCGATATTCGCTATCTATGTGTGCAGAAAGGGAAAGTGGGGCCCGGGACTGCCAGAGCAGTCCGGGCCCCCCAGTGCCGCCGGGCCCGTGACAACAGTCACGGTTGTCACCCCCTGATGGCGGCCCTGGGTGCACTTAATATGAAAGAGGTGAATTACGGTTGAACAGACATATAGTCAAATTCCAAGTTTTGTTTACATTTCATTTTGATCAAATCGTGTACATTTGGCTCAGTCCTTAACCCCTTAACGACGAGTGACGGACAAGGTCCGTCACTCTGGGGATTGCCATAACGACGAGTGACGGACCTTGTCCGTCACCCGTTAAAATTAACCCTGGATCGCTGCTATCGCAGCGATCGCGGGGTTAATGGTGCTCTGGTCTGCCTCTGTATTATAGGCAGACCGGAAGCACCCGATAGTGCCGCCCCAGCACATGTGCTCGCTCTGACAGCATGTCAGAGCGAGCACATGTGCTTAGTATACTTAACTTCCGCCTTCACACAGAACCAGGAAGTGCAGGGAGCCGGAACATTGCTGATCCTTCCCCCTGTTAAAAAAAAAAAAAAAAAATTACGTTTATTTAAAATCCCACCCCCCTTTACTCGTTTTAATTAAAAATTAATCCCTTCCCTGCCAATTGATCACTGACTACAATGACCAATTGGCAGGGATTACATTTTACTGTCATCTGATTTTTTTAATTATTTTTTTTTAACCCTCAGGGGTTAAATTTATTTAATTTTAAATATTAAAAAATTATATATTTAGCTAGCTGGGGTGGGTGGAAGTTAGTGGGGAATTGGGGGATTTGGTGTTAGGCTAACTAGGGGTTAACGTTCAAAGTTTTTAAAAGTTAAAAATTAAGCTAAAAAAAAAGTTGTAATAACGTTTAAGTAAAAAATAAAAAAAACATCCCCCTTTACCCAGTCCAAATAAAAATTAACCCCTTCCCTGCCAGTCGATCACTGCCTACAGTGATCAAAATACAGATCACAGTATTATACTGTGATCTATTTTTTTTTTTTACCCCTGAGGATTAACTTTTATTTATTTTTTTAACCCTCAGGGGTTCAATTTATTTAATTAATTTAAATATTTTATAATTATATATTTACCACTACATTACCACTACACTTGTAACAAACTAGAGAAAAAATTATCCCACGCCAAGGTTCAAAATATGCCTTTTGAATTATCCCAGGGTGTATTCTTTAATAAATAGTTTGTGTTTGTGGGGAAGTTTCAATAACCAACCGTCTAAACTACTCCAAACTGGAACATGGACACAGCGTAAAACTTCAAAGTTAGAAAAAAACTGAATGGCTGCTTCTCAAATGTGCCCCTTCAACATCCACATATACCTGGCAAAGGTACATACGGTGGTATTCCTGTACTCAGCCAACATAGCTGAGCAACATATGAAGTATTATACAGTGGTAGCACACATAAGGTTTGCAAAATATACTGTGCAAACTCACTTTGTGTGTCAAAAAGGCAGAAAAAACACTTATTACCATTACACTTGGTACAAGCTAGCGGAAAAATGATCCCACGCTAAAGTTCAAAATATGCCTTTTGAAATACCCTGGGGTGTCTACTTTAAGAAATGGTAGACCTTTGTGGGGTAGTTTGAATTTAAACCCTGCTAAGATGCTTGGAAATTGCACATAGGCCCAGCGTCAAAATTCAAAGTTCGGTAAAAACTGATTTGGCTTGGTCTCCTATATGGCACTGTAGCTTCACAAAATAGTGCCAAAGACATTCATTGGGGGTGTCTTTTTACTCAGAAGACTTAGCTGAGCATAATTTGGGGGTTTGAACTTAGTGGCACTTGTGAAATATACAAAATGCCCAGCAAAAATGCAATCCATATGTAAAAAATGCACAAAATTATTTTTTATAACATACTTTAGCATATATTGGTGAAAAAATGGGGGCATGTTAAGGCACAATATGCACCTTATGAGATACCCTGGAGTGTCTACCTTTACAAATGGTAGGCCTTTGTGTTTTTTTTTTGAACAGTCAAACTGTTATAATACCCCAAATGGACGCATAGGCTCATTAAATCCGTCTCTCAAAATTCTACTTTGAATACTGAAAAGGATAGGTCTCCTATATGGCACTGTAACTTCACGAAATAGTGCCAAAGACATACAATGGGGGTGTCATTTTACTCAGCAGATGTAACTGAACACAAAATAAAACTTTGTACAGGAATAGCACACACCAACTTTACAAAATACACATGAGAATTTCTTTGTTATAAGTTTGTGTGCCAAAACCAAAAAACACAATTTTACCCAATATTTAGCAGAGGTTGGCTGCGAAATGGCTACGTAGGAAAGTGTCAAAACAACCTTAGGTAAATAGTCTCGTGATGTCTACTTTATATAAATATATACTTTTGTGTGGCAATTTTGTTTTCTTTATGGCTATTGCTTACAAGACAAACATACCAAATTTCCAAAATCGCCCACATTAAAGGGCCAATTATAGTCACCTGAACAATCCCTAGCTTAATGAAGCAGTTTGGTATAGAACATGCCCCTCTGCAGCCTCATCAGAACCCTTGATCACTGATAACATCATTGACGATTTATCCCCTGCTATGTTAATAGCTTGCTAGACCCTGCAAGAGCCTCCTGTATGTGATTAAAGTTCAATTTAGAGATTGAGATACAATTATTTAAGGTAAATTACATCTGTCTGAAAGTGAAACCAGTTTTTTTTTCATACAGGCTCTGTCAATCATAGCCAGGGGAGGTGTGGCTAGGGCTGCATTAACCTGCACTAATTATGCTCACATTATTATTGCAAAAACTGTAAAAAAAAAAAAAAAAAAATTCTTTCATTTTTTTGGCATTTTTTTTAATAATAAATAAGCATTTATATATATATATATATATATATATATATATATATGTGTGTGTATATATATGTATTACATCAAATTAAAGCCCTTTCTGTCCTTTAAAAAACGATATGTATGTTTCGGTGCAATAAATTAGTAAAATGCAAATTGCTGTTGAATGCAAACAGCAAAAAATTTAAAAAAATGCTGTTGTCATTAAGTGAAAGACAAGCTTCAGAAGCTCTGTCCTTAAGGGGTTAATTAAGTTTTGTTTTTTTTCTCATCGAAGGCATATCTAAAAACGACTTGCAAATGAAAAAACGACTGCATTGGGAAGTCTGTGATTGGACAGCCACAGAAAGTCTGTGCTAGAGAAACAGGGGAGAGCTTGCAGAGGCTGCAGACAAGAGATCTGCAGCCTTTGCGAGCTCTCCCCTGTTTCAACAGACCATATTTTTTTCCAAATATGCCACAGTATCACGTTTTGCTTACATCTGCCTATAGAAGTACTTGTACTATCTTGAGAGGTAGTTGTAGTGTTGTAGTTTGGTCTTTCAGTAGAAAGCAGACAATTGATTTATGATTCCCAGAAACCCCTGTCTTGCCCATAAAACCCAACTGTTTAGGAATTGCTGGGATATGATCAGCACTACCATAGAACGTTATAGGAGAATCAAGATTAGTCGAGTCACTTCCTGATCTAAGCAGGGATCACCGCAGCAGCTGCAAAGTTTTGGACTTGCAGCAAATGCAGGAATATCAAATGAGTTTCTACTAAAAAGGGCAGCTGTCACTTCCCATATTATGTTTACATATCCCTATATTTAACACATATTTATTTGTGAGATGTGGAAAATAAAATTAAATATAGAAATCTATACTTCATAACCTGCAACTGAGTGATTCCACCTGGACTGCTCCCTGTCAATCATTGTTCTAAACTCTGTCCTTGGCACCTGGCAGTCAGCTTACAGAGAGCAGAAATTAAACAATGCTTCTGCTTCTATTCCTCATTAGCATTATGTGCCTTAGCTGTGCCTTGTCTAAAATAGGTTATGATTTTGTGTACTAAATATTTATTATACATTTCAAAAAGGAACACAGCTGATTTGATATATATATAATCAGTGTTTATTTTATTTAATACATTATTTTTATAATGCATTTAAATCTAGAATGGCTTAACCCCAAAATAATGTCAATTTACCCATGCCTTGTCACCTAACTTCATGATGACATATACCAAGGCTTGGTGCAGGAAGCTCAGTCAAAGATGACTCAAAAAATACCTGTGTGGCTGCAAGGGGCCCCTGGGCTGTTGTACTATATCAACAACTTACGTCAAGACCATAGATCAGGGTTCGGCATTCCAGATGTTGTGAACTACATCTCCCCTGATGCTTTGCCAGCATTGTGACTGCAATAGCATTATCGGAGATGTAACAACAACTGGCGTGCCAAAGATTGCCCACCCCTGCCATAAAAAGGCCATTTAGTGCATTTAGTAAGAGCAGCTGATACACAACTCTGACAGAGAGCCTTACAGCGACTATGGGAGAGTTTACTTAGAAATTACCATTATTATTATTTATGTAGCGCTATCAGATTCCATAGCGCTGTACAATAGGATGATATCTGTATGTGGGCAGAGGTGAACCTGCAATGTGAAAGGTACA